CGCACTGAGCTCGGGGGGGGGTGCAGGGCATCTCTCCTAGGACGTGACAGCACAAATGGCACAAAATCTGCCTTTTTCCACACGCACAGCCAAGCTTTAGCTATGGCAGGGCTGTAGCAAAGTGCAACTCCTGCCATGCAAGAGTCAGCACCTCCCAAAGCCCCGCGACACTGGCAGCAGAGAACCGGCAACGCAGGGACATCGCTCCGGGAGACCAGAACAAGGCTGCTCGGGGCCCACAGGCATGGGGAACCAGGAGGCAACTCACTGACAACCCTAAGCACGCTTCTGCACATAAAGCCCTGCCACCTCTCCTGCCAGCTTGCCGGTGACGCAGCTGAGCTGGTGTAAAGCCATCTCTGGCCAAGGGAGGAGATCCCATCTCACCCAGTGCCACTGGGTACTGGCTGCCACTTTCTCCAGCAAGGCACGTGGATTCTTAGCACACCAAACCGTGGGCCTCTTCAGGATATGCTTTCACTAGGGGCTTTGTGACCCTTAGATGACAAATCCCATGTGGGTGCAGAACATCAAATGCTCACCGGTCCTAACTCACAGTCCTTGTCCCAAATCCTGGACTCCCTTCCCTGTCCTCCCCGGGAGTGGGCCTGTTGGCACGGCCAGAGGCCCGCTTGCTGCCACAGGACACGTACTGGATGGATCTTCCTTCCGTGCTTTCTACCATGACTTAGGGCACATCAAACAAAAAGCTGAATCAAAACACCACGACGGGCACGAGTCCTCCCAGGTCAGAAGCTGCAAACACTGAGGCAGTGACTGCACGCGTAGGTCTGTCTCCGCATCATGATCTGCTCTTGGATTTCACAGATGTTTAGGGACACTCCTGCACACACAGACTTCTGAACTTGCCTTGTTGCCCATGTGGCCCTCCTGTGCATGACCAAAGAGCAAAACCTTTGGGCTTTTCTCAGGCCAAGAACGGCAACTTGGTGCCATTCTGATGGCATCAGCTCTCGGCAGACCACGCTGCTTCACAGCCACTCCCCACCACAGACACCCACGTCTGCGCTGACGACAAGACCCCTTTTGCTTCACCTTCAGACTTCACGCCCTTGGTTTGCCTACGGGAACTTCTCAACACCCATTTCCAAGCCCATCCTCTTCCCACACCAGGCCCTTTGCCAGGACAGGCAGCTGAGCTGCCAGAGGCATTGACAAGCGAGGCACAGCCACCAAGGCCCTGCTGACCTGGAAGATGCCATCACGCAGCCCAGAAGGGAGGCAGGAGCCTGGTGCAGACCCTGCCTCAGGCGTCCTCTCTCAGCAGCCCCTGAGGGAGCAGCGAGCAGGGCTGGCTGCAGGAGGTGGGTGTGGGGAAGGTGGATCTAGAGGTGGAGGTCTCTGCTCCTGGCCAGCCACAGGGTACAACAGCCACTGCGAAAGCTGTCTGGCAACCATTGGAAGGGCTAAAGCAGAAGGATCCAGGTGCGGAGAAGGACAAGCAGGGTTGGCAGACCCCAAAGCATCTAAGAGGTGCAGTGGAGTATGGGATCACGAGGGGGTAGCTGGGGGAAGAGAAGCAAAGATGCGCATGAGAAGGCAGTCCAATACCACTCTATTGCACAGCCTGCAAGCAGAGGCCACATAAATATTACTAATAAATGGCACTGTCCTTCTGAACTCATTGCCCGGCCCCTTCAAACATATGAACAGCTGAATTAAAAAAGATCAAGAGTCTATCTGGCCCAGCATCATCTCTGTGACAGCTGCCCCAAGTCTCTAGAGAAGCACAAGAACAGGGCAATGAGATGTTATAATTTCCAAGAGAACATCCAAGCCCCTAAATACCTTCAGCTGAGGGATTCTCTGGGCTGGACGTGGTTTCTGTCCTCCCTTGCCAGCTATTAAACTGGTGGGAATGGTTTCTCAGCTATCACAGGCTTTCCCTC